CTTGGTGGTCAAAATGCTGAGCTGGCCGTGGAAAAATGGGATGTCTTTTACAGGAACCTGAGGGAACTTTATTTGTAATAGGTATCGACCAGAAATCCATGGCTAGTCTTGCCAAGAATAAAGGTAGGGCTTACTTCGCCTCTAAATCTGTCGTATTCAAAAGTGGGAAGGTGCCGATTGGAAGGGCTGTTACAACAAGCCTCGAAAAGGACACTAAAAAACCTAAGACCACACCATCAGTATCCACTACAGATAACGTTGAGGAGTCAAATCCTAAAATGGAGGAAGTTACCATTAACTCGCCAGAAGAAAGTGTAGTTGCCCTTTCCAAAATTGGGAAGGCGCCGATTGAAAGGGCTGTCAAAACCGGCCCCAACAAGGACACTAAAACACCTAAGACAGTACCCAAAGCATCATTAGCAAGTACTAGCAATGTTGAGGAGTCAAATCCTAAAAGCGAGGAGGAAATCACTCACTCGCCAGAAGACAGAACAGCAATGCTCCCCAGAATTGGGAATGTGTCTATTAAAAATACTGCTATTCCTATGCCTGATAAGGACACCGCAGTGCCATCAACAGTACTCACTGCATTAATAGCCACTTCAGGCTATCCGGAGGAGTCAAATCCAAAGAGCGAGGAGGTGACCACCAACTCGCTGGAAGACAGTTTAATGGATGACCATGATTGAGGTTATCCAAATAAACCTCCATCGGAGCGAGACAGCTACCAACGCTCTGATGGCTAAAATCAACACAGGTAAAATACATATAGCTTTAATCCAGGAACCTTGGACGATTCGCAACAAGGTTTCTGGATTAAATCACGTAAATTTCCAACTTTTCTACGCTGATACAGGATCTCGCCCGAGAACATGTATCTTATGTCACAAGAACTTATGTTTTCTCCTCTCAACAGGATTATCAACATCGGATGCAACGGTGCTGAAGCAAGGTCGTGGCAACATATTCCTTGCATCTATTTACCTGCCTTTCGATTCTCCGACACTACCACCAACGTCGGATCTAATGAAACTGGTTGAAGAGGCACAAAGGAAAAATAAGAAAATTGTAATAGGTTGTGATGCCAACTCGCATCATGTAGCTTGGGGACATGATGCGAGGACAAGCCCTCATGGATTTCTTTAATACTAAAGACTTGATAACATTGAACTTAGGTAATAAAGCTACCTTTGTCAATAGAATCAGAGAAGAAGTATTAGATATAACTATATGTTCAGAAGAGCTTATAAACGAAATTCAGGATTGGAGAGTTTCGGACGAGCACTCCTTTTCTGATCATCGGTACATAAGATTCAAAATACTAAGGCCACCACCAAAGCCGATAAAGTTTCGGAATAAGTCTAAAACTAATTGGACAATGTTCGGGACCTTACTAAAGAACCGTTTAGGTCAGGACACTTTTCAATGTCGAAATAAAGAGGATATAGATGCCAAAGTGGAAACGTTCACAAGTGCCCTGGTTGAATCGTTCGAGGACAGCTGCCCTCTGCGAGAGCGGAGATCTGCCCAGGGAAAACCCTGGGTAACTGGGGAGATCCGGAACCTTGGGAAGACTATTCGCAAACTATTTAACCGGGCACGGCGTAAAAAGACCGCAGTATACTGGGATGAGTATCGTAATAAACTTGGTGAATATAAGAAAATCGTTCGAAAAGCCAAACGAGACTCCTGGAAACTTTTCTGTGAACAGGTAGATAGCGTAAATGACGTATCGAAGATAAAAAAATTCCTATCCAAAACTCATATCCAACCGGAATCTATGATCGATGACACGGGCAGGAGGCTTGAGGATATGGAGGAGACAATGAAACTCCTAATGGATTCTCATTTCCCACCCGGTATATCGAATAACATAGATGAACCGATATTGGAGGAAGGGGAGGGTAACACGGAAATAGTTATTACAACTGACATGGTTAAAGGGGCAATCAAGAGCTTTGCTCCCTATAAAGCTGCAGGGCCGGATGGAATTTTCCCGGCACTTTTGCAGATGGAGGCGGGACTGGTTTCCGTACATCTGTCACAGATATTCACTGCATGCTTAAAATTGGCATATACCCCAGTTAAATGGCAGGATGCAAGGGTAATATTTATACCCAAACCAGGGAAACCTAGCTATGCGACACCTAAGTCCTATCGACCGATAAGTCTTACGTCCTTCCTACTTAAAACCTTGGAACGGATAGTCGATAGCATGGTTAAAAGCAGCATACCATACAAAGACCTTAAATATAAGCAGCATGTTTATGTAAAGGGACGACCGGTGGAAACCGCTTTAAATGAAGTTGTCCACTACATAGGTGAATCTTTCGATAGCAAACTGTATACACTGGCGGTATGCATTGACATCGAAGGCGCTTTCAATAACGTGCACACTGATACCCTTATCCAATCCCTAGACCAGTTTTATGTTGACCGGGTGCTCCGTAACTGGATCAACTACATGCTAAGGAACAGATGGATAAGCTGCGAGATGTACGATATAACTATCAGGAAAAAGGTATTTCGCGGTATACCACAGGGTGGCATTTTGTCACCTTTACTCTGGGTCACCACGATTAATAGCCTCCTAAGGACCCTAACCGAGAAAGGACTTAGACCTGTCTGCTATGCAGACGATGTCGTAATACTTTTAAGGGGAAGGATCCAAATTACTTGTGTAGAAGAGCTGAGGAGGCTCTGAATACGGCCTTGAGCTGGGCTCAACCGAGAGGCCTCAATGTTAACCCGGCGAAGACGGAAATCTGTCTTTTCACAAGAAAGACAAAAATTTCTACATACACTGAACCTTGCTTCTTGGGCAAGAAGATACCGGTGACAGACAAAGTTAAGTACTTAGGTGTAATACTTGACCGGAAATTAAAATGGAGACACCACATAGAGGATAGGATCAACAAGGCACATCGGTGCTGGGCGATATGTAGGAGAACCATAGGCATGAAATGGGGTCTTAGTCCTACTATGACAAATTGGCTTTATAAAAGTGTAATTAGACCAATTCTAGCTTATGCTTCAATAATCTGGTGGACTGCTTTGGACAAAAAGTGTAATATCAAACTGTTTATGCGCACAGTGTATATGGCCAGTTACTGTTCACTGGCCATTCTATGTTTTTTAATTCTTTGGCGCTTTTTACCCTTTTTCTCTCTTACAAAAAGTTGTAATACTCACTTACTTTTGTAACCCCGAAGAGTACGGTACGTACAAAACCCCAATTTATAACCCGAGAAAAACCAATAATAAAACCCCATTTTTATATTTATTTAAAGAAAAACTAATTTTGTTTTTATTTTTCTTACCCCATATTTTCGAGGAAATATTTCAAGGAAACATTTTGGTCCTTCGAACCGGATAAAAACCCCCGAGACCTTGAAATATTTCAGAAAATATTTTTATTTTCAGAAACCCCCGGAATTATTTTCACCCTAACCCTAAAATTCCTCTTGGAAATTATTTAATTTATCCCCACTTAACCCCTGCACCCAAAGGAAATAAGGTACGTTTTTGTGCATTTAATAAAGTGAAAGAAAAAAGTGACAATAAAAAGTGTTTCTTATAAAACAAAAAGAAGAAAAAATAACCAACAAGTGATCAAAAAGTCCGTGTTGAAAAATTGCAATTTGCCGTCGGCAAAACGTATTTTCATTTTTTTCTTATTAAAGTCTGTGCATTTTTCCTCTCACTTTCTTTATACCCCTTGTTCTCATTTAATTTATTGATTTGCGTGTGTGCGTGTTACTTTAAAATAAAAGAAATTAAAAACTCTTATATTTAGTGCATTTTTTATTTATTATACTCAGTGCTTTTTACTTATTTTACCCGCGTTTCTTTTATTTAAAGTGATTTTTTATTTACTTGAAAGTGTTTTTGTTTTTTATTAATCCCAGCTTCTTTATTCTCTGTTAACTCCGCTGTTAACAAAAAGCTTTTATATTGATACGTTTTTTACCCAACTGTGCTAATATTAGCGAATATAGCACAAAAGAGAATAAAGAAGGAAAAAATTTACTCGTTAGTTCGATTGTAAACAAAAACAGACGGACACGCGAATAAAGTAAATTAATTGTGAATATTTATTGTGATATTTTTATTAATATTAAAAATAAATAAATTTATATAATAAAAATAAAAATTATATATTTTTATTATACCCATATACCCGTGAGAAGTGAGAGTGTTATTAATTATAATAATACAAAAAAAAGCTACAGTGTTGTTGGTTGTTTTTTTTTTATTTTTCTTTTGCTTTTTATTGTCACACACATTAGTGCTGCAATATTTTGATTGTACGAATAAACCGGTTACTGTGTATTTTAAAGTGATAAAGTACATTTTTACTCAATTTTTATATTTTAACCCGTGAGAATAGATAAATCGTATAATTTAAATACAAATTTAAATCATTAATAAAATTTTATTAAAGAATAATTATTTTTAAGTGAAAAATAATTATTAATTTTATTCGAAGGGAGTAACCGTTTATTCGTTTGCAGTATTGGTGTGTTTTTTTATACATTTTTATACTTTTTTTAATATTGAAAGTGCTTTTACACTATAAAAAATTGTTGTTCGAACTATTTAAACCCATTTTTTGTAAAATTTTTACCCTTAAAAACGAACAACGTGTAAAATCACTTTAATATTTAATATTTTTATACTTTTAACCCGTTTTTTTCGTGGAATTTACGTCGTAAATTCCAATTTATCCAAATATTTATTGAAATTTTACCCCTATTTTGAAAAGTTTTTGATTTTTTTTTGAAAATTTTACTCGTTTTTTGTCGATTTCGATTTTATTCTGATCCTTAAATCCTTGATACGTGATAAATTTCAATCCTTTAAATTAATTTTGAAGATTAGATTGTTTATTTTTTAATTTTTTTTTTGAGCAAGTTTACTCTATTTATTGAATATTTTTCATTTTCCTCTAATTTTTCTTGCTTTTTGTCAAAATTACCCGGTATTTATTAAGATCTAAAATGGACATGTCCACATTAATTCGTAATGCAGATCGTTTAGCCGAATTCGAGGCTTATATTTCAATAATTCCTGTTGGTGAACATCGAATTGGTTCGTTAAGTAGCCATGAAAAGGAATTAACCCGTTTATGGGAAGCTGTTCGTTCAGCATACGATACTTTGTTGATCGAAGCTGAACAATTGAAAACCCCACAAATCGTTGAAGTGAAGTCCAGGTATATGGCTTCTTATAGTACCTACACTCGTGGTATCTCCTTGATCACGACCCATTTGGACAATTTAAAATCCGCTGCTCAGGCAGAAAAGTCCAATGATCATGGAGCAAGTTCAATACCACTCGTTCATTTACCCCCTTGTGACACCCCAATTTTCTATGGTGACTATAAGAACTGGCCTTCATTCCGAGACATGTTCTCTGCGTTGTATGGCAATAACCCCCGTTTGACCCCAGTACAGAAATTGTACTATTTATTGCAGAAAACTGCAAAAGATGCTCATGATGTCATACAAACTGTTCCATTGACTAACGATGGCTATGCAGTGGCATGGAAAAAGTTAGTTGACACATATGAGAACAAAGACGCCCTCATAAATGAACAGCTTCGTACTCTTTTGAGTATTAAACCCCTTACCCAAGAAACAGGCCCGAATATTAAAAATCTGCAACGGACGCTTAATGATTGTATTACGAATCTTTCATTATTAGAAGTTACCCCGGAAATATTTTATCACGTCATGTTAGTGTATATTTGTGCTACAAAGCTACCCGAAAATACTTTAAGTCTCTGGGAACAGTCCAAGAAACTTTGTCCAAAATCTCCAAAGTGGGAAGATATGGACGCTTTTTTGACAGCTCATTTCAAAACTCTTGAGTCTATTTCTGATATAAGACAGTCCAACCCAGTTCAAAACAAACCCCAGAATACTGTGTCGAAAAAGAACTCGAGTTTTAACCCCCCAAAGAAATCATTTAATGACTCTAGAAGAGTTCAAAGTTTTGCGACAAACACTACCCCGAGTCCCACAGTTTGTCGTTGTTTCCTTTGTCAAGGACCACACCCCCTAAGACTTTGTCCTAACTTCTTGAGTCAGAGTGTAGATGATAGGCTGTCAACTGTCAAGAGACTTAGGTGTTGTTCAAATTGTTTGGCGACTTCTCATGATTTTAAGAATTGTAGAAGTACTCATGTTTGTTCGTTGTGTAGACAGAAGCATCACTCTTTGCTTCATAGAGATCCTAGGTCGCAAGGTCAAGGTTCGCAAATTTCACCCCAGCTCCCTATAGCTTCTGGTACAAATGTACCAATTCAACCCCCGCATATTCAAACCTTATCTAACCAAACCCAGCACAATATAAACCCAGTTCCAGCAAGCAATCAAAATCAACACCCTCCTAATTTTCCCCCATCAACTTCTGCAGTGACTCAAAACGTTCATACGTATGCTGCACATCTGAGCCCTAACCCCCATTCCACAGTCCTTTTGGGCTCGGCTATTTGTATAGTCCATTTTGACCATCTCAGATGTACAGCAAGAGCGCTAGTTGACCCTGGTTCGCAAGGTACCTTTATCTCTAGGAGATTACAAAGGAAGCTTGCAATACCAACATTTTCGGTGCCATCGATAAATGTTACTGGTATGATGGATTGCTTGGCTGGAAATTCCTCGACTATGTGCGTTCTTACTATTGGTTCTCCAATAGACCCGAGTTTCAAATTGAAAATTTGTGCATATGTAGTCGAGAAGATTACCGGTCGGTTGCCCTCTTGTTCTCTTACAGATATTGTAAGCTCTAGTTTTCCCGATATTACCATGACCGACGTCATGTGTACCCGTATGGATATTCTATTAGGAGGAAATGTTTATCCAAAAATTTTAACTTCGGATGTTAAAAAGCATCCGAATGGCAACCTGATCGCCCAGAGAACAGTTTTTGGTTGGATAGTAACTGGTGAAGTTTTTCAATCTGAACCCCCTTATACTATTGCATCGTTTTGCAATCAAGTGGAGCTGAACGCTCAACTCGCTCGGTTTTGGGAACTTGAAGAAGTTCCACAAGCGACACGGTTGTCGGAAAATGAGGAATATTGTGAAGAACTTTACCGGACTACTACCTATAGGAACCCCGATGGTCGCTATGTAGTTTCACTCCCTTTTCGTCGGGAATTTCTTAATGAAGTGACATTAGGAGATTCTCGACATAGTGCTCTGTCCCAGTTTAGGCGAAATGAAAATCGACTTTTGAAAAACCCCGATCTAAAATCACAGTATGATACTGTAATTAGAGAGTATTTCGAAATGGGACATATCAGAGCAGTTAACCCCCCGAGTTCAGATGCGACTAATTATTATTTACCGCATCATGCAGTATTTAAACCCGATAGTGTGACCACTAAACTTCGTGTGGTATTTAATGCCTCGAACCCATCCTCCAATGGCGTAAGCCTTAATAATGTCTTGTACCCCGGTCCTGTTTTACAGGCAGACCTAACGGTCTTAATCCTACAATGGCGACTCTTTCGTTACGTTTTTAACGCTGACATTGAGAAAATGTATCGCCAAATTTTAATTCATCCCGAACAGACACAATTTCAACGGGTCTTGTACCGCTGTAGTCCCGAAGCTGATATAAAGGACTATGAGCTAAATACTGTCACATTCGGAGTGAATTGTGCGCCGTATTTAGCGATTCGAACTCTTTTACAATTGGCCAACGATTGTAAACCCCTAAGTCCGTTAGCATCTGAAATTTTGAAAACCCAAATGTATGTCGACGACGTACTTGCTGGCTCTCATGAGCTAGAAGACGCTTTTAGGAGACGTATTGAACTTACCCATGTTCTTGAATCGGCTGGTTTCGTTTTGAGAAAATGGACTGCCAATCACATACGTCTCTTAGAAGATTTACCCCGTGAGAATCTGCTTGATGCAGACTTCTTAAAATTTTCAGATGCTAGTACAACAAAAACCCTAGGCTTGCGATGGAATGCAGAAACTGACAGTTTCTACTTCCGACTCATATCGCAGCCACGCCGGGATATTGTGACTAAACGTGCTGTCTTGTCAGAAATAGCTAAGCTATTTGACCCCGCCGGTTGGCTATCCCCAAAAATCATTGTTGCTAAAATTATAATGCAACAAATATGGAAAGATAAGACAGATTGGGATGAATGTTTAAAACCCTTAACCCTTGTGCAATGGCACTCATTTTTAAATGATTACCCCAATATTGAGAAAATTAACATTCCAAGATGGGTTAATTTTCACCCGAGTTATGATATTGAACTTCATGCATTTTCTGATGCGTCAGAAAAGGCTTATGGCGCTGCTCTTTACGTTCGAAGTATTTCTTCGAATGAAATCTCTTCACATTTACTCTCTGCAAAGACGAAGGTAGCTCCTGTTAAGTCTGAAACATTACCCCGTTTAGAACTTTGTGGAGCGGCTTTGATGGCGAATATGGTAGAATCCTTGTGTAGTCAATTAAATCTAGACAAGAGAAAGATTTATCTGTGGACTGATTCTACTATAGTTTTATCTTGGCTCAAAAAACCCCCGTGCCATTGGCCAACCTTTGTCAAAAACAGAGTTGCCTTAATCGTAAAGAAAGTTGGTAACGAGAATTGGTTTCATGTGGATTCCAAAGATAACCCTGCAGATCTCGCAAGTCGTGGAAGTCTTGCTCGAGATTTAGTTGATAACCCCCTATGGTGGCATGGTCCCTCGTGGTTAAGACAGCCGCGAGAGTACTGGCCACAAAATATCGTTACCGAACATCAGCATTTAGAAGTTCAATCTTTTTCTGTTCAGACAGAACCAACATTTGACATACTGGAACGTTTCTCAGATTTACCCCGTGCAATGCGAATTATTTCGTATTGGTTCAGGTGTTTACAATATTTAAAAACCAGAAAATGCTTGTACAACACCTTATATTTAACCCAGTCAGAAATGAAATTTACTCGAGATCGATTGGTTCTAGTATGTCAAAAGAATTATATACCTGAATATTCTCTACTCTCGAAAGGTAAACCCATTTCGTCTAAGAGTAATTTACTCACTTTGAACCCGTTTATTGATTCAAATGGTTTTGTCCGAATCAATGGTCGATTAACTCGATCCCCTGGCTTAACGTACGATGAGCGTTACCCTAAAATTCTGCCTTATGCAGCCCGATTTACCCGTTTGTTTGTTGAACATGTTCACAAATGTTCTGCCCATGGTGGCCATTCATTAATGCTCAGATTAGTAAGAAATGAGTTTTGGGTCCCCAAGTTAAAAAATCTAATTCGTACAGTCATTTTCAATTGCAAGGAATGTACTATATATCGAAAGAAAACCGGTCAGCAGATTATGGCTGCTTTACCCCCTGAACGTGCTTCTCTTACGAGACCGTTTACCCATACCGGTTTAGATTTCGCAGGTCCGTTCGACATAAAATCCTACATTGGTAGAGGTTGCCGAATAACGAAAGGTTATGTCCTCGTTTTTGTTTGTTTCGCCACAAAAGCGATTCATTTAGAGGCAACCGGTGATATGTCGACCGAAACATTTCTTGGTGCTTTTGCTCGTTTTTTCTCCCGTCGAGGTTGTCCTGCCCACATATACTCAGACAACGGAACTGCATTTGTCGGTGCTGCTAATTTACTCGAAGTAGACCGAAAGCAGTTTTTACCCCAATTAAGAGAAAAAGTACTTGTACGAAATAGTTTTCAGCCAATTGAATGGCATTTTATACCCCCTGGTGCTCCTCATATGGGCGGCTTATGGGAAGCCGGCGTAAAGAGTGTAAAAACTCATTTTCGCAAAATTGCTGGAATGCAGAAATTTACCTTTGAGGAGTTTTCGACAATGTTAACCCGAATAGAAGCTTGCCTAAACTCAAGACCCTTAACTGCAATGAGCGATGATCCTTTCGATTTAGTCCCTTTAACCCCAGGTCATTTTCTGATAGGAGCACCTCTTTTGGCACCCCCTGAACCCGATCATTCCGATCTTTCATTGAATATTGCTAATAGATGGCAAAAACTCAAAGTGCTCCATCATCAGTTTGCTCAAAGATGGAAAGAGGAATACCTCAAAGAACTCCATCGGCGAATTAAATGGAAATATCCGCAAAGGGACTACAAAGTCGGAGATTTAGTTGTGATCCGTCAGGATAATTTACCCCCGAATGAATGGCGTTTAGGTAGGATAGAGAAGACCCATGTAGGCCATGACAGCAAGGTCCGCACAGCGGACGTGAGAACAGCTTCGGGCATTTTTACCCGCCCAATAGTGAAGCTTGTTCTCTTGCCAAAGTCAGAAACTGACTAATTTGTATTTTTTTTCTTCTCTCTATTTACTTTACCCATAGCAAGATGTCGAATGTGAATCGCCGCCTGGAAATCCACCGCAAACCCGTTGAAGCCCCCGGTTCGTCTAAGGACATAAAAACAACCCGTGATGAGATCCTTCGGGACTGCCGTATATGCAAAAAGGAGCATGCCTTGAGGAAGTGCCCGAAATTTAGGAAGATGTCGGTGGGGGAGCGGTGGGAAACGGTGAAAAAGTACCGATATTGTTTCAACTGCCTGGCTCATTCCCACATGAAGGATAAATGCACCAGCAGAGAGCGGTGCATCGAGTGCATGTCAGAGCACCATACCCTCCTTCACCGGCATCAAAGGTCGAAAAAAGGGGCCAAACCCGAGGCCCATCAACAACCAACCCAAGGCAGCGGTAGTCCCAAGGATCGGAAGTCCTCAAAAAAAAGGAGGAACAAAAGCCGTGGTACGAAAAACCAGGTCGGCACACCCCAACAACAACATCATTGCTGCGCACAGCATCCACAACAGCAACAGTACCAACAACAACCCCTACAATATCAACAACAACCCCAACAATATCAACAACAACCCCAACAATATCAGCAGCAACACCAACAAACCCCGGCAACCATTGTTATCAATGTAATGTCAGGGCGCATTGTTTAATATACCCCTTTTTATTATTTTTGTTATAATGAATTTAAAAAATGAATTGTTGTTTTGAAAAAAAAAAAAAAAAGTTTACCATTTTTTTGTTTATATACATATATTTTATTTAACTCTGTTTTCAGCTTATCTTACCCCGCAGTATCCTAAGCCTTCCTTGTTGCAGTATTGCAAGGGGGGCGGGATGTTTATGCGCACAGTGTATATGGCCAGTTACTGTTCACTGGCCATTCTATGTTTTTTAATTCTTTGGCGCTTTTTACCCTTTTTCTCTCTTACAAAAAGTTGTAATACTCACTTACTTTTGTAACCCCGAAGAGTACGGTACGTACAAAACCCCAATTTATAACCCGAGAAAAACCAATAATAAAACCCCATTTTTATATTTATTTAAAGAAAAACTAATTTTGTTTTTATTTTTCTTACCCCATATTTTCGAGGAAATATTTCAAGGAAACACAAACTACTACAGGGAGTTCAGCGTACATGCTGCTTGGGTATAAGTGGTGCCATGTGTACTACTTCAACCATGGCTCTGGAAACGTTGCTAGATATTCCACCCATTGAAACATATATAAGATATGAAGCGGCGCTTACAGCCGAACGGCTCTTTACTTTAGGCGAACTGGCCAAAAACGGTTATAGGACACGTCATCAATGTATACTGGACACATTGGAAGGTTATACACATTCATCGTGAATATGTCGGAAACTTTGAAACGCTAATCCCAGATAGAATGTCTTGGTCAAGTGGAACATTAGAGCAAATACCAGTAGGAATCCGTTGCTACACGGATGGCTCTAAATTAGGAGACAAAGTGGGTCTGGGGTTCTATATTGAAGACCCAGAAAAAGAAATATACCACCGTTTACCTAATCATAACACAAGCTTCCAGGCAGAAGTACGAGCAATAACGGAATGTGTAAATTGGATTAGAATAAATATGGCGCCCACAGGGCTTAATATATTTACCGACAGCCAGAAGGCAATTTGTGCGATATCGGGTGATAGAATTAAATCTAAGACCGTATTGGATTGTAAGAAAGCTTTAACTGAATACTCTCCCAGAGGTAAGGTTCACATCATATGGGTACCAGGCCACTCGGGAGTAATCGGCAACGAAAGGGCGAATGTAATAGCTTTAAAGGGAAGGGAGCTCGATGTAGTTAACCTGACAAACGCAAAACCATTCGACGCAACAAAAGCTGAATTAAAAATATGGATGAGAGAATCCCATAAGGCCTCTTGGAATAATGAAACGGTGGGTAGAACCACAAAGATTCTATGGGGTGACCCTGATGAGAGCAAGACGAGAAATCTTCTCAAAATGAGCAAGTCTGAGGTTAGTATGATGGTACGTATTCTCAGTGGACACACAGGATTACGAGCACATCTATACAAAATTGGACGTGCGAATTCAGACGAATGTAGAGCATGTGGAGAGGACAGTGAAACTCTGGAGCACTTTCTTTGCCATTGTCATGCATTCGTCGAAGTTAGATCCAAGTATCTTGGAAGTGATGTTATTCCGGAAATAACATTCTTAACCAACACCGATTGGAAGATTCTTAGGAATTACGTCCAGGAAACTAAGTTTCTGAACATGGAAAAATAATACATTCAGTGAACAATTTTTTTTTTTTTTTTTTTTCTTGAATTGGAGCGCACAACAGGCCCGATAGTGGCCTAGGTGTATTTCTTCGGACTTGATGTAGTATACATCCTCCTATCAACCTAACCTAACCTAACCTAACCTATGTGCGTTTAAGTGATTTTCGGGAGGGGACCTTGTATTTGAGCTATGATCAATTATGGACCGATCGGAAAAAAATTCATAGTAATATTTATGTATATCTGAGCAATACTTGTAACAAGTTTTATATGGATATCTTAATTTAGTAATGAGTTATGTGCGTTTAAGTGATTTTCGGGAGGGGATCTTGTATGGGAGCTATGACCAATTATGGACCGATCGGAAGAAAATCACAGTAATATTTCTGTGCATATGAGCAATACCTGTACCAAATTTTATATGGATATCTTAATTTATTAATGAGTTATGCGCGTTTAAGTGATTTTCGGGAAGGGTCCTTGTATGGGTGCTATGAGCAATTATGGATCGATCGGAAAAAAATTTCATAGTAATATTTATGTATATGTGAGCATTACTTGTACCAAGTTTTATATGGATATCTTAATTTAGTGATGAGTTATGTAATTACTAGTTCTAATGTTCACAAAAAGTCCTCATAATTGGTAATATTACTCCTTTGCAATCCTCCTACTTGGTTCCAAGTAAAAAATACTACAAAATTAATTTGTATATTGCTTTATTTATAAAAAATTAAATTAAATAAAAAATTTTGTAAATACATTTACCTTTTATAATGCAAGTTAAAATTTTGAAGAAATTATGGTTTCTATCCGCACCACCAACGTGGATATCGTGGATTACACATATAATGTCCACAAAATTGCCTTAAATACATTTGCGTATGATCAAATAAATATGAAACTCATTGCAATTTTTAAATTTAACAGACGTACTTACATAGGGCATGCAAGTGGACTTAAACAGTCATTCATTATTTATCCTCTGATTTGAAAGGAAGTTTTTGTAAATTGCCTTCATTTTATGTAAAAACTTTGAAAATCTATTTACGAAACTCTCGTTAACGTAAAAAATTTGTATGAAGAATACTGGGAAATTTTTGAAAATTTGAATTTTTTCCATACAATTTTTTTTTGAACGTTTGTCGTTTCGTTTTATAAAATGAGGGGGTAAATAAATTAATTTTAATCACATAAGATAATTGTTTATTGTTAAAATTGTTAAAGTAGTGACTGTGATGAGTGATTAAAAAGTGTATTAATACTGCCTGCTGTATATATTGCATTAATCGTTCGTATGATTATTTTAATATATTGTGCCTTGTTGTCTTGCTTTTACTTATTTGGGGCTCCTTGCTTGTTTGTTTTGATTATACTATTCTTTTATACTGATATCACTTTTTTGCTTAATTTTAAAAATATTTAAATTTAAAGTATACTTTAAGGCTTTTATTTTATTCGCATCTATTATTACACTGTTAGAAATGTCGTGTTTTTTTGAAAATTGCAAAGTTCGCAATGAGGATCGTCTATTAGTATGCTGGATGTGTGACAAACTTTATCATTTTCAGTGTGCCGGTTTTAAAGGTAGAGATTACGATAGGATCGCTGGTCTTGCACTAAATGCAGGACTTATGATGTTAATTTCCATAAAGTTTTTAGTGATGCGAAATTAGGATTTACAGATATTATTAGGGATTTTTCCATACTAAGTGACAAACTTAGAAAAGTTGAGGAACTTTTTATCAACTTTGATGTGTCACAATTAGTAGGAGCCTAAGAGGAAAAAAACCTCATCAAGGTTAGAGGCCGAAATGTACCGGTCCCCGGTGACCCCGGTCTCAGTCCAGTCCCCTTGGACTGGATCGATTAGGGAACAATTGGAGATTCCGTCGGTTAAAATTACTGGAGTAGGTGATGATATCACAACTCCAATGATTCCGCATGGTATTCCAGTGTGTTCTTCAGATGGTGCTTTAGGTCAAAATGCTTCAGGGACTCAAAATTTTTCGGAAGGCGCTATTGACCAGAATGTTGAAACTATTCGACATTCAACAAGGGAAAACTGTGACTTAGCTGTTGTCCCACCTCGAAAGATAGTTTTTGTATCGAGATTTGCTCCTGATACTACTGTGGAATCATTAGTGAAATTTATTAAAAATTATAGTAAAGGTTTCGATGATTCTGACTTCATTGTTCAGAAATTTAAATTTTCGCAACCTAGGGATATTTCCTCTTTCAAGATTATTGCTCCTTCAAAATTGTTCAATATTCTAGTCGATATATCTATATGGCCTGACGGTGCTCTAGTTATGGAATTTGTTCACATGGATGGACCTAGAACTGCTAGAGTGGCTACCTTATCAAAAAACTAGAAATAAAAAATAATTCCTTGTCAATCCTATATCAGAATGTTAGGGGTTTGAATACTAAATTAACTGATGTATATAGTAAAAGTATAGGTTGTGATTATAATATCGTAGCTTTTTGTGAAACTTGGTTGAATCATGGTATCGATGATAATGAGATCTTTTGTGGAGACTTTCAGGTGTATAGAAATGATAGATATGCAGATAATTATGTTAATATAAAAAAGGCGGAGGTGTATTAATTGCTGTTCAAAGCTCTATTGCCTCTGAGCGTTTCAAATTCTCTTTTCAGATCATGGTTGAATTTTTATGTGTTTGCTTAAATTTCATGAATACTCGCATTTTCGTTTCTTGCTCACA